CGCGCCGTGTCTGGGGCGGCCCGGTCTGCGCGCCCCGCGGCGGGGCCGTCCCCACCCTGGATCCCGGTCCCGGGGCAGAAAAGGAGAAGTCCGGCTGCCGAGCGGGATGGCGCCCCCAAGACGGGCAGCGAGGAGAAAGTTGTGGAGAGGGTGGGAGACGGGCACCCGCGGGGCTCAGCTCCCTGGCAGGGGCGGGGACCCGTCGGCCCGGAGGTAGCCAGAAAGCTGGGAGTCCTGAGTTCCCTCGGCGAAAGCACGGGAAAGCCCAGAGTGGGGGCAGCGATGTGAGCATCTCCTCTCCGCGTTCCAGTCCCTCGGAGTCCGTGTGGGGCCCCTTCCACCAAGCCCCAGTCTCTGACGGGCTTTGCTTTTCTTTCTTCTGGATCTTTGTTCCCGTCTTTTCTTGGCTTCTTACACACACGCATACCCTACCTCTCCCTGCCCTCCTCCTCTCCCTTCTTTTTCTTTCTAATACTCAAGAGTGAAAGGAGAGTCCCCATGTTCTCAGAGGTCCCTTAGTTAGCCATCCCATACCAATACATCTCTTGGTCTCTGGCGGCTTGAAGGGGGTGAGAGGCCCGCAACACGCCCTTCTATCACCTACACGAAGAGCCTTCAGAAGACGATGAGCTGAGCCAGAGGCCACGGAGTAGCCCAATACTCCCACTACATTCTCCCTCTGATGTGTTGACACCTGTGGTTCCAGAAAGGGAAATTCATCCTTTTGTTCCTGTTCAAATATATCGAAATACCTCTTGGGGAGTAACACTTTAAACCTTTTTCATTGCTCCCCACTCTCCCTTTGAATTGTTGAAATTCCCTTTGGAAACAAAGGTAGTGGGGGCCTGTGATAAGAGGTGGAACTAGCCCAGGGGCTAAGAGTGATGGAGGCCCTGGGTGCAGTGAAGGTAAAACTTGGCTGTGAGACCAAGTGTACCCCACATGGGGCTGCAACCCTCCTGCCTGAAGCCTTTCTGCTGCTTCACTGGGACTTAGGGCCAGGCCTAGAGGAGTCCTGCTTGCTTTGAATATCTGTGCCATAAAAAAAAATGGAGTGTTATCATGGAACTGGGAAGATGTTCACATAGCACTGTACTCAGTGCCATAGACTCGCAAATGCAAATCCAGTTGCTTATTGAGGAAAAGACCCACTGTCTGATCTATAGTGTGCCTGTAAAGTAGTTGTGTGGCAAAGGAATCTGGACACACCTCCTTGGAGATAAGAAAACGAACTCACACTTGGAAAGATATTCTCTTCTCCTTGTGTACTGCCAGAGTCAACCCACAAAATGCTAGGGGCAAGCCTTCAAATGCTAGATCTGTGTACACATGCAGAGCACCTCAACTTGGAATGTAAGCATGCACACAGGCCACACGCAGAAGTGCCAACAAATTTATATAACATTGATTGGCTAGTGATAGAGAGCTACTGGGGTGGGAAGGGGGTAGTCCGGGACAGCCAGAAAGGAAGCTGGAACTCAGCCACCAAATCCAGAGGCTTGAAAATCCAGGGTGTGTTCCTCTTGTGACTTTATCAGTATTTATTTTGATGAATAAACAGTATGATTAATGGAGACATTGAATTGTAACATTTAAGGGAAATTAAAGGTCCTCCATCCTGGCCCCTTGTATGGCCGATAGGGAAATGAAACTCAGGGGTGTGAGATCTACACAAACTAGAAGTTACAAAGGGCTACTTCTCAGGGCTTGCAGGGGCCATTCCCCCAAATTTATTTTCCGCCCATTAGGATTTTTTTTAAAAAAACAACAATTATTTCAGGATTCTCAGGTGTAGGAATCTGGACATAGTATTGACTGAGGCTTTGGTCTCATCTGAAGACTTGACTAGGGAACCCTCTGCTTCCAAGCTCAAACATGTAGTTGCTCCACTCATATAAATTTTAAAGCTGTGGGGGGCTCTCCATGGTGGCGCAACCGGCTAGGACGCAGCACTACAAGCTGGCGGCAGCCGCTTCAGTGCGAGTTCTATCCCCAGCCCCGGAGAATCCACATGGCAGACCTCCTCTGGCCCACCCGCTGCTCCCTGAGCAATGTACTCTGTCAATCTGCCTGCTCTGCTCCCCACTCTGCCTCTGGTGAAGCCTCTCACCACCCCTGCACCTCTGGCTGTACCCCAGTACTGTATGAATAAATAAATAAATCTTTAAAAAAAATTTTAAGCTGGAAAAAGTTAGGAAACAGGATAAGCAAAGAAATAATAAATAATAATCAGGGATCTCCAGAGAAATAGAACCACAAGCTCTGTGTGTGTGTGTGTGTGTGTGTTCACACACATGTGCATATGCATGCATAATACATATTTATGGTGAGAGGTTTAAGGAATCAACTTTTGTGATTGTGCCAGGTAGACCAACAGACTGGAGATTGAAAAGAGTTGAAGTTCAAGTCCAAGAACAGCCAATGGCAGAATTCCTTGCTTAAAGGAGGTCAGTGTTTATTCATAAAGTTAAGGCCCTCTATAGATTGATGATGCATACCTATAGATTGAGAGTAACATGCGTCACTCAAAATTCACTGATTTAAATGTTGATCTCATATAAAAATAATTTTATGGGAACATTCGGAATACCTGCCCCCAAATATGTGGATACCAAGTTTATGTTCTGATATTTCTATACAACAAGTGAATCATAGCTAAAATATCTCAAGCATTAAGTGTCTGTTACTGGTCAATATATTAATAAAATCTGTGTAGTTTATATTCCTATCCTCAAACTAAGGGTGTGTTCTTTTTCTTTTGGAAGAGCATGTTAGGGAAATGGAGTGTGCAGAGGAAAGTCTTCTTGTAATTTACCAACACGATGAACTAACAGCTCACTGTGTAGACTGACTGGTACAAACACACTCACTGAGCCATCGGTCAGAGTCAATGAGCTAATGATAGAGTCCTCAGCATATTTCCTGGAATTTGGTGATATTGGTTGCCTCCGCCTGCCCATATATCATTCTAAAACTGAAAGTGCCAAGATCACATTCCTCCGCATTCAGGAATCCTCTGACAACATTCCATACAAAATGAATATTGAACATCTGTTATAATCCTTAGCATTGACAAACACCCAGCTCTGAGAAACTTCTTCTTGCTGCTGATTGAATCAAACATTCATGCCATGGACTTCCATTGAGAACAAGGACATTCTATCTGCACAAGAAAGCCTTTCAAATATTTGAAGACAGCTACCATCTCTCTCCTCAACCTTCCCTTAATTCATTTTCACAGTGCTGGTTACTTTAACCATCTGGTCCCTGGCTCAGTACCATGCATGCCATTGCCTTTCCTTATCAGCACAGGTCAGTATCAACCCCCGGACCATGTGCACAGAGTGGATTCTGCACCTCTCCTGGTGACACTGGGATTCTTTCCTGAACTGGACCTTACTCTTCTGTAAATAAAAATTAGTGTTGCCCTTTTGAGTAATTGTGTAAAATATGGGAATATAACAGATTTTATTCAGTTGACCTTCTATGTACCAGATAGTATATAAATTTTATTCAACAGATCAAGTTGATCTACACATATATCTTAATTTGTAAATAATTCTGCAGAACTTCTATTTGAACTTCTATTGTGAGAACTATTTTAGTCTCACAATCTTAACTCATTTTGTCCCTTTTACCAGGTACATTACTGTCTTCAGCAGACAGGATAAAAAGAATGTGGCCCTTGACTTAGCTGTGTGAGCAAATAGCAAGCTACCTGTCTTCTGGTCTGCAGTCCATACAATTCTCAGAATTGTCAGTGAGGTACCTCCAGCACTGTGGTTCTCTCTTACATGTGATGGCCCGTCACTGTCAGTCAGCCTAGTCACTTTTCTCAAAACATACACAAATGAGGAAGCTGAGGTCACGCCAAGTACTGAGTACAATGATGTCTCTCTTCACTGGGAGCCCCCAGTCTTTTCACATGAGTGACCCTCAAGTTAGAAAGCCCAGCTGCTCTCATGCAATGATTTGAACCCATGGCCGGGAAGCTTTTTTATTTTGTTTCATTCAGTATGATCAAATCCATTTGAAAACTGATTCCTTCATTTATTTCATTAACAATTTCTGCCAAATTTTGCTTCATGCATTATAACCATGCTTTTGCCTATATTTGGGTCAGAATGGTAATGTGGATTCCAGTTAAGCCTCATTTCTCCTCATTTTCACAAGGGATGTGCTTCCTGGTGATACTGATGACTGGGCTTGACATTCACATTTTCAATCAATTCTTCCTCGGAATGAATATTTTTCTCCAACTGGAGTTCCCAATTTATCACAGAGATTTTATATATCAGGAAATTTCTATAACTTTTATATCCTCATCTTTACTAATATAGGCATTCTCATTATCAACTAGAGTAACTATGAGATGTAACTTGTTCTTGATGAGCTCTTGCTATTTCTTAGTAATTACTCACACCTATCTTTGGCACAAAGCATCCCAACACTACCTAGGATATGCATTAAAGTTTGTAGGATCTAATTCTGACAAATCCTCCTTTTTTATGTGAAGATCAGAGCAAGTTATGTATTGTTTTAAGCTGGCATTATATATATCATAAGCCCAATTACTGTAGTTTGGTGATACATGAAGTCTGCTAATAACTTCATGTGCTCAAAACTCTTTCTTGTATGAGCAGT